ACATCTAGTTTTAACACAGAATCCCAAAGTGGTACTTCTTGATATTTACCCAAATGACTTGGAACTGATGTCCATACAAAGATCTACACACAAATGTTTACAGAGGCTTTATTCATAACTGCCAATACTTGGAAGCAATCATGGTGTTCTTCAATACAATATGTCCCTTACACAGGTGAGTGAATAAACTCTAATGCATCCACACAATGAAATACCATTTGGGGTTGGGGATTCAAAAAGACACAAGCAGATAAGCATACTGCAAAGTGAGAGAATTTGAACTGCAAAGGCCAAACCCACCAAATGCACAACACCAATAACAAAGTAAAGACTGTCAAGGCCATGCAGCCTATACCTTAGCTATTCAGGAGGCTGAGGCAGGAGGTTGCAAGTTCAAGGTCAGCCTGGGCAAATTAGCAAGGCCCTATCTTAAAATGAATTTAAGAAGGGCAGGGGCTGGTAGAGAAATTGCCTGGCATGCACAAACTCTGCGTACAAAGCCACAGAGACAGGAAAAAAAAATCTGTGGTTGCCAGAGGTTGAGGGGAGAGAGGGATAAACAAGCAGAACAGAAAAAGAAGATCTTTCTGTGTGTGCTATAAGGATCGACAGATGTTAGTGCACATCTGTCAATCCCAAAGAACGTCCAACACAAGCAGTGAATCTTATTTATACTATGGACTTGAGTTAACAATAATGCACTGACATAGGTTAATCAGCTGTCATAAGATCCACACTAAGGCAACATAATAACTGAGGAAGGGTAAGGCGCAAGACAAGGGACACATGGAAGTCAGCCATCTGCTCTGCTGTCTGCAAACCTAAACTGCTCTGGAAAACAATCTACTAGGGTTTTTTTTTTAGCCATGGACAGTTGGACAGGGTGGCCATACCTATAATTCCAGGACTTGGGAGGATGAGGCAAGAGGGTAGCAAGTTCAAGGCCAATCTCAGCAACTTAGTGTGACTCCGTTTAATAATAAAAAATAAAAAAAGGCTGGGGATATAGCTCAGTGGTAAAATGCCACTGGGTTCAATTCTCAGAACAAACAAACCAAAAAAGACAAAAGAAGAAAAACAAGGAAGAAAGAGAGCACACCATGGTCCTGAACACTGAAGTGATCTCAGTCTACTGCCACTATTAATCAACTACCTTCGGCAACTCAACAGAACTGAACCCTTTGTGACCACACCCACCCAGTGACTTCTTTCCTTCTGCTTACACCTGACTCTGCCGGGGCTCTTGCCTCCTCCAGGTCTCTGAAAGCCACAACCCTTTCCTTCCTTTCTCCTCTCTACTTGAGTAATCCTTCTTCATTCCCCAAAATACTCCTTAGACCCTGAACCCCCTCTCCCTGGCTTCCATCTTCTGGGCCCTTTCTAATAGGTCTACTCCCTTGACTTCCAGATGGTCTKCAGGGTCCTTCCTACACTCTGACCTCTAACTCCTGCTACTCATAACCAAGGTCTCCCTAGTTCCAAATCCCAGGGGTGGTTAGTGCATGCCTCAGCCACCCCTGCAGCAGTCAGCACTGCTGGCCACTCTTCCCTCCTGTCCTTCCTAATCCCTTCCTGTCCTAAAATGCATGTTATCCTAGGACACAACATTCTAAGCCAAGGTCTGCTGACAGCCACCCAGATTTCTGCCCAAGTGCCTCCCTCCCCCATGTATAATGCACTGCTGCACCCCACAAGAACCCACCACTCCTCGGGCGTCCCCTCCTAGCCCTGACACACACCTAGGCGCTCTGTGCCAGGAGACTCTAGCCCTGCTCCGACTCAGCTCCCAAATGGAACCAAACCCAAGCCGAGCAAGCTTCCTCTCCAGACTCTGGAACTGAGATCAATGCGTGTGATCAGGTAACCACACAGCCAAGATCCCCTGAGGGAGAAACAGCGCTGCCTGCAGAGGCAAGAATAAGCTCAAGAAAGATGTTAACTACCGTGGTACCGACAACCCAGATTCTGGTTAAGTTTCTGACCTTTACTTTCTGTGAAGTATTGACTTTTTTCCCTTAAATTTTGATTTACTAAGTGGGTTCAGTGGAGTTAAAATCAAATGACCCCAAAATGGTATTCTATGTACTAAGGAAAACAATGTGCCAATTAAAATATGTCATGTCATCAACATGTACCTGATTTCAGAAGTATTAGGAAGTAAAAGCTGTCTACACCTAGTGCTCCGAGGGCAGGACCGGGCCAAGCAGCTCGCACTCCCAGGTCAGCCCACGGGAGATCCACCAGTCTACTGCTATTTAATTTGTCACGTTTTATTTTTTTTAAAATATTTTTTAGTTGTAGATGGACACATACCTTTATTTTATTTATTTGTCTTTATGTGGTGCTGAGGACGGAACCCAAGGCATCACATGCGCCACAACCCCAGCCTCACTTGTCAAGTTTTAAATTTTACCTTCCCAGCAAGATTATAAGCTTGTCAAGACTTCCTCTACAGAGCCTTTATAGATTAATAAACACTACAAATATTCATTTAATTTGAGAAGATATATTTATTCAAAAGGTGATATCTGGTTTCCCACTAAGCTGAAGAAAGGGAAGACTCCAAATAATCACTGAAGACATGAAGAAAAGCTTACTATGATTTTTGTTTATTCAATAAGGGAAAGGACTTTTGTAGACCCAAAGAGAGTGAAGAACACGCACATGTAGGTCCCAGGGAGTGAGTCCCAACCCTTAATTCAGTGAGGATTTATAGGTTTTGAGAAACGGATGTGACTCCCATTTTTGAGAAACCATCTTCTACCTCAAGGCCTGTCCAGAGGGAGGGGGCGTGACCTTTGTCCTCGGAGAAACCCACAGAGCGCTCCCAGGCACATACCCACCCTGCTGAGTTGTTTAACAGGAGAGATCTGCTGGTCACATGTCCCTGACTCAGTCAGGCTAAGTGAGGACCCATAGCAACCCCCTAGCAATCACCAATCAGCGAGAGATAGGGAAAATATCTGAAATGCCAGGTGACCCTCCCAGTAGTTTCGGTAACTGATAACATGATTAGGCCTCCCAGCAGTTTAGCGCACACACTCTTGCAACTCCTCGWGGCCTAAACCAATCAGTTCAAATGTAGGCACCACTTGAACTAACCAATCACCCTTACCCCACTTGTTCCCGCCAGTGAATGTGCTAATCAATGTTAAGAGTTGTTTGATTTTCCCCGTAGTGTGAAATGATTGCTGTGTGATGTTGTGACGCATAGAATATCCCCCAAAACCTATAAATCCCCCAAAACCTGAACTAAGGGTTGGGACTCACTCCCTGGGACCGCTGCTTTGGAAATGGTTGTGAGTCAGGCTCGAGACTCTTGTGTGGGGGAAAAAAAAAAGACTCTTGTGTGATTGCATTGGATTTGGCTCCTGGAGGTCTACTGGGGTCCCACAAATCTGGCATTACAGTGCTCAATCACTGGCCACCAGGGAACAAAAGTAASGCCACAAGGAATCCACAGCCCTCCCAGACTTGCCAAAATGAAAAGGACTCACAAAACCAAGTGTTGGCAAAGACTTGGAGCCTCTGACCCTCTCTGATGCCACTGGCYGCAGCACTGGCAGGCACGCTGCTGAGGGTGGCTCACGGATGACACACGACCTACARGATAAGTGATGTCCACCAAGACACACACAACAAATGCCTTTGAAAAGCAGAGGACAGACTGTGGCATGATCACACAGTGGACCTGGGTGGCACATCGGGAAGTATCTCAGAGATGATGCTAAGTCAAAGAAGCCCGGCACAAAGAAAGGACAGGATGTATGCAACCTCACCTAGGAACAACAGGAAAGCTCATTTATGGAAAATAAGGTCAGAGGAGGAGTCACCCTAGGAGGAAGAACACTGAAAGAGACTCCTAAGAATGTTCTTCATCTGATGTGAGCACTGAGCCATCTACATATGGGTGTAAAAAACTTTTAAGCTAAATTTAGCCCTAGTTCCACCCAGATTCCTGTACTGGCCTGGGGCACCCACTTCCCTTTTGCCCTCTCTGGAGAATGACCTTGGGGACGCRTGCCTGAAGAGAGGGCAACTCTGGGACTCTCTCAGTGGGAATGGGCCAAAGCTAGACCCATGGCCAGGAAGACTCTGCTACCTGCCCCTCACCCGTTCCAATTTCACAGGCAGGAGGACCACTGTAAGATGATTAAGGTATGTGGATCTGACAGGGTCAAGTTTTTAAAAGGAGGGAACTGTTTGCACAGTTAAAAAGCAAAATGTGCAGGTGCGGTGGTGCATGCCTGACTGTGGAGGCTGAGGCAGGAGGATCCCAACCAAGTTCAAAGTCAGCCTCAGCAAAAGCGAGGTGCTAAGCAACTCAGTGAGGCCCTGTCTCTAAATAAAATAAAAACAGGGCTGAGAATGTGGCTCAGTGTCCCCAAGTTCAATTCCTGGTAGGAGGGCGGGGAGCAAAATGTACGCACAACCTTGCCTGGAGATTCTGATCAACAGATAAGTAAAGATGTGTTATTGGGTGAAAAAACTCCAAGCCTGTGTCAGGACAAGCCAGGCACTCATGACCACAGAAGCCACAAGGTTCATGCATACAGGGGCAACATRGGAGGTGCTACTAGCTCCAAAAACAAGTATGCCATCTTTCCACCGCCAACTCTGTCAACTCCTAGAGTTCTCTCAAGTCCCCCCTGTAGAACTCTGTTCTGGTATAAAACTCAATAGTTCACAAGCCCCTTCCAACTCAATTATGCCTGACAAGTATCTATTTCCAGCACCTAGCTCTGCAGCTACTTCCACCAATCACCACCAGACACCTCAAATGTTAAAGGTGCTAGCACACTTCTCGCCCACCTGGGCCCAGGTCCACTTCCACTGCCCTCAGAAACCACCCTGGCTTACATCTTTTGGGGCAGTTCTTACTAGGACTTGAAAACCGGCCCGGGGTTAAAAGCCAACCCCGCTGGAAGGGCAACAAGCTATCCCCGAGGGGGGAAAGACCACTCTGTACACTGCGGCCCATTAAACTCGGCCAACTTTACCAGCACGGCAAGCACAGGGCCCACACGGCTGGGTCCGACGCAGGGGCGGAGCAGCGAGGCAGGGCCACTCCCAGGATCGCTGGCCATCATGCACGCGGACATTACGGGCTGGGTGGACACCGCCGGCCGGAGGACGCGGCGGGTCAGAGTGGTCACCTGCGCCGCAGGGTGGTGGGGAGTGCCGGGGGCTGGTAGGCGGGCCAGGGTGAACGCGGGGGGACACAGAGGGTCGACAGGGAGTCAGGGTGGACGCTGGGGCTCAGGTGGACCATCAGGACTCAGGGTGGACGCGGCGGTGCGGGGAGACGGCGGGGGGGTGGTCAGGGTGGACCACCGGGGCTCAGG